ATAAAATTTTTAGTTCGCCCTTAATAAAAACTAACACATTCTTTTTGCCTTTTTCTTATGAGTGAAAAGTGCCACATTAATTATTTTTAATTAATGGTTTATTAATGTTTTATAACTAAATTTTATTTTAAACCAAGCATAGATATTATTCGAACTCAACACGTCGATGGCAACATACGATATTTTATTTTAAGATCCTATGGGCGGCGTGTCACATTTTTGGTGCATGCTCGCGAGAAAGTAAAAGATTGTTGTCTTCATACAAAATCTAAATGAGAAATAAAAGAAAATTAAAAAAAAAAAAAATGAAATGAAAGAAAATTTGTGAAATTAATAAGAAAGGAAGGATGATATGAGAAATCATCAAAGAAATATAAGAAAGGAAGGATGATATGAGAAATCATCAAAGAAATATAAGAAATGAAGGATGATATGAGAAATCATCAAAGAAATATAAGAAAGGAAGGATGATATGTGAAATCATCAAAGAAATGATAAGATAAGGAAGACTTATCTGAAATATGAGAAAAATGTTACTATATATGAAAAAGATATAGTAAAAGTAATATTATGAAAAAGGAATATTACGGAATATATGAGAAATGAAAATATATGATATATTGAAAAAGTATATATCGAAAGGATGAATGAAATATTCAAGATAATAATGAAAAGATTTAAAAATTGAATGAAAATAAAAATTTATAATGAGAATGAATTTTGTGAATAATAAAAAGTTAATAAATGATTGAAAAATTTGAAAAGTATTATAAGAAAAGAAAAGTTATTAGTGACAAACCCGTAAACTACTATACTTCTATGAAGAAGGTAAAGGCAAGCCCGGTATAGGTTACTAAATGAAAAAGGAAAATTAGTATCAATAATAATAGATTCAGGAGCATCAGTCAGTTTAATATCAGATAAATTAAGAAAAGAATTAAATATTCCAATAATAGAAAAGAGTGATATTAGATTTATAATGGCTAATGGAACAAGAGTTGCATCAAAAGGAAAAATAGAAATAACAATAGAAATAAATGAAAATATAGAAATGAAAATAATTATGGACGTAATTGAATCAGTGGAAAAAGAATTAATATTGGGAAATGATGTGTTAAGAGAAAAGAAAGGAGTAATAGATTATAATGAAAAGATATTAATATTAAGAGAAGATGGAAAAGACATTGAAATACCAATAAAATATGAAAATAATGACGAAAATATTTATGATGATAATGATAGTGATGATAGTGAAGATGAAGATAGTGAAAATGAATATGAAGAAACAAGTGAACGAGAAATATATTTAATAAATAATGAAGAAAAAGGACATATTATAGAGGAAAACTATTAGGTCTTGGCCATAATGATGGAGAGACATTAAAGATGCACAAAGGTTGGACAGACGAAATAAAATATAAAGATTTAGAGAAATTACAAGAAAAAGAATTAAAAGATTTAGTTAAAGAATATGAAGATAAAAATTGGGATCAAAGAATAGCACCAATATTGTTTGCATATAGAAGTAAAATACAGAAATCAAGTAAAATGACACCATTTTATTTGACTTATGGAAGAAGAGTAATATTACC